CGGGCCGGGCCGTGCGCGCAGCACCGCGGCCCCTCGCGGCCACCGGGAGCCGGGCAGCGTCGCCATCTTCAGCCCTGGGGGCCGCGCCCGGGATGTAAGGCCGCTGCAAACGCGAGCTGGGAGCCGGGCAGGGGCGATTTACACAGGCGATCGGCCCCGGGCTCCGGGCCCCTGGGACCCGGAAAGGGGCGTTTTACAAAGGCGATCGGCCCCGGGCTCCTGGGACCCGGGAAGGGGCGTTTTACAAAGGCGATCGGCCCCGGGCTCTGGGCAACTGGGACCCGGGAAGGGGCGCCCTGCAAAGGCGATCGGCCTTGGGCTCTGAGCAGCTGGGCCTGGAGAAGAGTACCGTTGCTTTCCTTGCTCAAGAGCCTACGGGGACCTCACGGGCACCGCATGGAGCTCGAGTCACCTTCAGGGGCCGCTGTCACCCTCACAGCCAGGGCACTGGGGCGGTATGAGGGGCTTGGAACGGATGCCGGGCGCGCAGGCCTAATTCTACGCCATCCATTCGCCTCCCCCGAAATCCACAGCGCGCCGCCCCCTCGGCGCCCCACACCGAGTGGTATTTTAAGATCTTTGTGGTGAACCGAGATTGGGGATGAATTTGAAATGGACCACCGAAACCGTGTGTTTGTAAATACTGCGCTTATTTTCTTTCCCTTGCGTCCTTGCAATGGGAGGGGTCCGGAGGGCGGGGAGGCTTCATTAACTCTTACGTAAGAATGGAACCGCAACGCGGTCGGTGCTTTGGCCAAAGCCAGACCTCCCTGCATGGGAGGAACCGAGGGAAGCAGATTCACTGTTTGGTTCAACAAGTGCTCGAGGGCGGGGCTTACTTTGGGCCAGGCCTTTTGAAACGCGCTAAAAGCCAGAGCTTAGCTCCGGAGAATCTCGATTTTGCGTGAATATCCAAATTCACTCATTCACGGACTGCTTTATGGGGAGTTTTATTGAGCGCGTCCTGTTGTGCGGTGCTCTAGAGACCACACAAAGCTGAACAGCTTTGTTCGCCCTGTTTCCTGAGGGCAGAGAAATACTTATTATGGTAAACCACGTGTGGCAGGTGGTCTAAATATGAGGGATTCAGTCTGTCACCAACTGGTGCCCTGTGATGCGACAGACTTGCGGATGCGGTCTACCGCTGTACCACTGAATCACACACCTCCAGCTCCTAGGAAGCCTGACTTGAAACACTGCTTCGCTGCTGTTACTAGTCACCTCCGCCTTATTTCAGAACCAACTAACTCAGGCCATGGGGGGAGGGGAGATCTTACTGCAGTTTGCCCCCTCCATTCCTAGTGCTACAAGCCTACTAACAAATATGTGTTGAACACAAACACACACAAACACACACACACGCACGCACGCACGCACGTGCACACACACAACAGTTTTGTAGGCTGTTGGTTAAAGGCCCTGGGCTGTTTCTGCAACAGGATTCACAAGCCTCTGGGGCTCACAGTCTAACTCGGCGTCTTGAATCTCACCTTTGGATTACTGAGATATCCTCTTCCCTAAACCTCCTAGCTTTACTTCCTATACTCTCCTGCATCCAGCTGCCAGGAAATTAAAATTCTATTCTTTGATTATGTATGCTTTTGTATTTTTTAAATCCCTGTGGCTGGCCCTATTGAACATTATCTCCCGTAATTCTCATAATTGGTCACTTCATCCAGAGCTATTTAATAAACGAGATGCCTTCCCTATACTAAATTGTTGTTCTGGCACTTTCCAACAGTGGTAGTTGTAAAGTATTGAGTATCAAGGAAAAAAAAGATACATCCAGGGCCGGAAAGATGGCACTGGCCACTCTTCCAGAGGACCTGCATTCAATTTCCAGCACCTCGGTGACTTGGCATCTCACAACATCTCACTTTATAATATAATCATCTGTAACACCTGCTCCCAAGGATCCTGCTCCCTCTTCTGGCCTCTATAGGCAGTTGCACACACGGTGCACAGACATACACTCAGGCATAACACTCCTACACAGAAAATAAAAATCAAACCTTTAAAGAACAACAACAACAAAAAAAAAAAAAAAACATACATCCAGTGGGTTGAGAGGTGGTTCAGGGGTTGAGAACACTTGCTGTTCTCTCAGAACACCAGCACTCAGCCTCTGTAACTCCAGTTCCAGGGGATCCTATGCCCCTTTCTGGCCTCCTCAGGCATACATATGTATGTATATACATACATGCAAGAAAATCCTCATACACAAATAAGAATAAAGAAGTCCTTAGTTTAAAAAATACATTGAAGTCCTATCTGCCAGAGCCTGTGAATGGGACCTCATTTGAAATAAGGTCTTTGCAAAAATAAGTTAAAATGCAGTCACACTGACTTAGAATTAATTCTAAATCCAATGACTGGTGTCATTGTGAAAGAAAGGAGAAGAAGTCCAGGCATACACATATGCAGGAAGGAAGCCAGGGACAGATGAAGACAGACTGGACAGATGCAACCAGAAGCCAAGAAATGCTGAGGACTGCTAGGA